CCAAAAAAAAAAAAATTGTATTAATGTTTGAATTTTGTATTAAATCATTTACTACCTGTTTTATCAGAAAATCTACGGCGATCAGAGCAAACTAGATTTGTCCTAAGGTGTAATTTATTTGGAATTTCGTTTCTTTTAAGAACACATTAATATCAGCTATATCGTTCTGCTTGTTTCCTGGTTTTGGTTCCCCTCATGTGTCGGCATTGACGCAAAGCTCATGTTAAATGTCCGAGTGAATTTCTTCTAAAAAATTAAGAGACGGTTGGCATTACTATTTTTTTTTTCTTCTTATTTTGCAGAGTAATTTATACTGTAATTTTTATCAGGAAAAAAAAGAAACTTATACTAATTTATGCAATTAAGAAAGAAGATTTCTAAGTGCATTTTTAAAATAAAAATATCACCCACCTTAATTATACAAAATACACAAGCCGCTCCGTGACTAAATTATTCATCATCCAATTAAATATTTACTTAAATTACGTTCTTAAACATAGTAGGCCATGTTATGAAATTTAATTTGAGGATCAGCGCATCATTAGATCTAATTAAAGTAGTTAAAAGAAATAAAATCATGACTCATGTGGGACTAAATATAGATTTGGAATTTGAAACTAAAAGAGAAAGGGATTCTTCTTTGGATCATTGCTTGAGACGAAGATTTGCATATGGTCCAAAAGCCTATCAACAACTAGATTATGAGCTAGACTATCATGAACTTTTCCCTCTAAGAAAAATATACTTTCTATTCTTTATACAAATGTTTGACAATAAACTATATATATTAAGATAATCAGAGGGTGCTTTAAGTTAAGTTTGACGAAACAATTGTTCCCACACTGCTTTTCCCCAAGCATAGAATAATGCACTTTTAGTTTGCATTATGCCTAAGTGAAAAACTAGAGTGATGAGACTATAATTAAATCTATTTTATGCCAATAGCTAAGCTGGCATCCTTAAAAAGCTTCCTTACCAATGCTTAGACCCTTTCATTTCCTGCAGGGTCAGATTCATCCATTCTTATTATATGTATTGACATAATGATTATTTGCAGTATCAGTGAATTTAGCTTGTATGGCATATTAATTATCATTTTAATACGTCAACAATTAGTGTTTGATTAAAAAAAAATGGACCTTAGTCAAACTCAACTTTAAAAAGATCACATAAGTAAACACATCAGTTAATTTCCAACTGATGTGACACTCAACAATGTTATCACAAAATTTATGTGTATTTAACTTATAATTAATTTAATTATATAAATCATCATATCATATCATCATATCATACTATATTATAAGTGTGAAGGCCTAAAGTGAAAGTTAAAAGACCTAAATGACCCTATAAAACTAAGAGACTATAATACCCTTAAGAAAATTAATAAATTCCTCCTTAAATCAATACAAGAACCTGGCTTACATTAGACAGCTTCCTCGTTGCTATTAACTATCATAAAATTATGAAGAGTTGCATTAGATAATAAATGTAGACCTAATTCAATTACTAAACGTGTGAAAGGAAAGCTCAAGGAACGTCAACTAGGAATAACTAACCATTATAATAGTACTGTAAATAATGAGTTAGGGGTGTACAAAAAATTCGATAAATCGTACCAAACCGATAAATCGAGTCAAACCGAAAAAAAAATCCGATGTGGTTTGGTATTAGAAAATAAAACCCGACCATAATTGGTTTGGTTTGGTTTTAACTAAAAAAAGTCAAACCGAAACCAAACCAACCCGATAGTACATTTATATAACTTTTTTTAAAAAAATTATACATATAAATATTTATTGTAATGTAATTTATAAATATTTCTTAAACTTTTTTACAGTTTTATTTTTTAACGTATTATTTCAAGTTTAGACTTAACATTCTTGAATGGTAAATAAATTTTAAAGCCCATAAATATAGTAACTCAAACAAAGTTCAAATCAATACTAATGCTAACAAAAGTTCAATTCAATACTAGGAATGACGATAGTGTTGGATAATTATTTTAGTTTTACATTGGTTTATAATGAAAATGCATAACTTAGTTTATCTTTTTCTTTAGTGTTTAGTTATGTAATTAATATTAGTACTTATTAGCTATACTTATTTTAGCATGACCTATATAGTATTTTTAGATTATGTTAATTTTTATTATGACTTATTAATTAGCAATATTTGTTTTATGTAATTTTATTATTTTATCATTGTTATTGAATATTTTAGTATAATGCTATGACTTATCTCATATTATTGTGTTATTTTCTTGGAAAATACATTATATAGTTGGAGCACAAGTTACATATTTTATGCTATGAAAACTTTACCGGAAAAAAAATTCCGAAAATCCGAAAAACCTAAGAAAAATCGAGATTGAAAAACCCAACTTTGTTGGTTTGGTTTGGTTTATAAATTTAAAAACCTGACACCATTGGTTTGGTTTGATAATTGAAAAATTCGAACCCACCCGACTTATGTACACTCCTAATGTGAGTTTAAAATAAATAAATAGCATGTCGTTACAATTTTATCATTTATGTTGGTTAAAAATATATGTGTCAAATTAATGCTATCGAGCTACGAACATCAATAATTTTAACTCTATGTCCTCGGAATATCAACTATAAGGAACTATTAGGTGAAACACGCTTTATTACAATTTTATACCTCATAAAATTAAAAAATAAGTAATTTTTTTATCTAATTATATTTTGATTGTTCATTTTTGTAGATTCAAACGATATACAGTCACTTTGACCCTCAATAGACTAGTCACGATGAGACAATTCATATTAATCTTCACATGTACTTTATTTCTTCAAGTATGATTATTTAGTTAATATTAACTACATGATTCGGCATACACATCCAACGCACGTGCCGAGAAACTAGTACTTTCTATACACAATTACATAAAGTTAATTGAACTCTTTAATTATTCACTTAATTATTGTTCTTTGGGGGAGGGGGG